TGAGGATGACCTTGAACTCCTTCCAACCCTCTAAGTGCTGGGCTTTTCTGCCTCAGCTTTCCCACAGCATCTGGGGCTGCAGTGTATAATGGTTCCTAGATCCCTTTCAGTTATTGAAAAAGAGTGCAGCACAGACTGTGGAGATGACCCAGGGCTGAGGTCTCTTGCAGCCCAGTCATGAGGACCTGAGTTCAGATTCTACCACCAGATGATGGTAGTTCCTATAACTCTCACTCCAAGAGATCTGGCTCGCCTCTGGCCTCTGTCATCATCTGCATACACTTGTGATCATACACCCACACAGACACACACATACATGTATACACACCCACATAAATAAAATAAAATCATAAAAAGAAGTTGTAGCCAGGCGGTGGTGGCTCACACCTTTAACCCCAGCACTCAGGAGGCAGAAGCAGGAGCATCTCTCTGAGTTCAAGGCCAGCCTGGTCTACAGAGTGAGTCCAGGACAGCCAGTGTCTCCAAACTGAGGGAGGGAAGAGGGAGGGGGGAGAGACTAACTTTTATGATAACAGTATACTATTTTCTATTTATTTTTAATTACTGCTGATCTCTCATTGTGCCTAATTAAAAATTTTATTCCATTTCATTTGTTTAGAGAGGGCAGATAGAAGACAATAGGAGTCAGTTCTCCCCATCCACCATGTGGGTCCGGGGACAGAATTCAGGTCACTGAGTTTGGCAGCAAGTACCTTAACCCACTGAGCCATCTTGCCAGCCCTTATTACCTAAGATTTAGAAGTTAAAATTTATCATGTGTGCATGTACAGGAAACATACGCTATATGGAGGGTTTCAGGCACCTACTCGGGGTCTAGGCACTTGTCCCCAGAGACAAAAGAGGACAGTAAAGCCGGTGACGTTAATGGCATTTGTGAGGTTGTGTAACAGTCCCCACTGGCCATTTCAAAACCCTTTTGTCACCCCAGGCAGAAGCCTAGTCACCATTAAGCAATAACTGCCTCCCCCAGAGCCTCATAACCTCTCACCAGTTTTCTTATTGATTTTCTTTCTTTTTCTTTAACGTATAAAAATCACTTTATTATAAAGAACTTGCAAATAAAAAATGTCGTGCAGCGTGATTAACATAACCGCTCAAACAGGCTCTGGCCCAGATCCAAAGTCTACACAGCTCAACGAACCTCTATGTAGTTAGAGCAGCCACTCCACAGCCCGGCGAAGTGGTGCGCACCTTTTATCCAAGCATGAGGCAGAGGCAGGCAGATCTCTGAGTGCCAGGCCAGCCAGGGTGACACAGTTAGCCCTGTTTGCTACATTTCACCAACAATTACATTTAATGCATTTATCCAGCACACACACAAAACCAAAAAATCCATGACAGAATCAGAACCAAAAGGTAATTAGCTTTCTGAAGTCTTTCTTGTGTTTTTCCCATGTCCCACCCATCCTCACCCCCTGATAACCCCTTCTCTGTTCTCGTCACTATGTGCTCCCACTCTGCACACATGTGCACTTGTTTCCACGTATCAGTTACAGGCTAGGAACTATGTATGAGGGAGAACATTTTTTTCTTTCTTTCTGCGATTACGTTTCCTCAATATTATACATTTCAAATATATCCACTTCCTGAAATTTTTTATTCTTTTTAAAAATATTTATTTATTTATTTATTATTAATGCAGTATTCTGCCTGCATGTGTGCCTGAACACCAGAAGAGAACACCAGATCTCACTACAGATGGTTGTGAGCCACCATGTGGTTGTTGGGAATTGAACTCAGGACCTTTGGAAGAGCAGCCAGAGAGAGCTCTTAACCTCCGAGCCATCTCTCCAGCCCTATTCTATTTTTCTTTAGAGACAAACAGTATTCCCATTTTATGTGTGTATCAGACTGTCATGATCTGGTCTCCCGTGGACAGAAAATTAGGTTGGTTCCAGTTCTTTTTTGTTTTCTTTTTTCTCCTTCTCTTTCTCCCTTTTCTTCTTGAGACTGGGTTTCTTTGTGCAGCCCTGGCTGTCCTGGACTTGTTTAGTAGACCAGGCTGGCCTCAAACTTACAGAGATCTGCCTTCCTCTGCTTCCCCGAGTGCTGGGATTACAGGTGTGCACGCCTGGCTCTAGTTCTTTGCTATAGTGAACAAAGGGTCAAGGGCATGGGGATGCAGCCGTCTCTGTGGTGGGGTACAGGGTTCTCTGGGGCTGTGCCAAGAGTGAAATAGCCAGGTCACATGGTAATTCTATTTTTAATGTTTTGAGGAGCCTCACAACTGATTTCCACTGGCTGTCCTAATTTGCACCCCCAACAGCAGTGAATAAGGTTTCCTCTCTCTCCACACTTTCTCTAACACTTGGCAGATTTCTGATGAGAGCCATTCTGACTTGGGTGAGGCAGTATCTCGAAGCAGTTTGAATTTGCATTTTAAAATAGTTATTGGTCATTTGTGATACTTTTCTTGCAGGAATCAGTTCTCTTTGTTTGAGGTAGGGTCTCTTGTAGCCCAGGCTGGTAGTCTCCAACTTCTATGTGGTCAAGGATGACCTTGAACCTTGATCCTTTTATCCCTCCCTCCCTCCCAAGTCCCAGGATTTCAGGCTTGTGCCACCCTGACAGAGAGCTCTCTTATTTAAAAATATTTATTTTATTTTATGCATTTTTTGGGCCCACATGTGTGTCTGTACATGTATGCAGTGTCTGAGGAGGCCAGTAGAGGACACTGGATCCCCTTGAACTGGAGTTAAAGATGGTTGTGAGCCACAACGGAGGTACTAGAAATCAAACCTGGGTCCTCTGGGAAAACAACCAGTGCTCTTAAGCAGTTGGTTATCTCTTGAGCAACCCCAATTCTTATTGAGACAGCATCTAGAGAAGTAGCCCACGCTGGCCTTGAACCTGTGATCTTTTGCTTCCTGAGTGTTCCAATTATATACATGCCTCACTTATTCTCTCTCTCTCTCTCTCTCTCTCTCTCTGTCTCTCTGTCCCTCCCTCCTTCTCTTTCCTCCTCCCTCTCCCTTTCCCTCTTTCCTCTTTCCCTCTGGATCTCTGTTGCTCACTAGCTCTTGCTGTTCTGAGATATAGCTAAGGTAGCCCAGGCTGGCCTCAAGCTCACTATGTAGTTGAGGATAATCCTGAACTTCTGATCTTCCTGCCTCCAGTTCTGAGTGTGAGATTACAGACATTTGCCATCACAGCAAGTGTACATGGTGCTGTGGGTGAAACCCAGGCTTTGTGTGTGGTAGGCAAAGCCTTCTACCAACTGAACCGTATCCCCAGACATTAGCTATCATTTCTAATTGGCACAGACACTCTGATTGCATTCTCTTTCCAACCAAAGTCTCTGGCCTGGCATTTGGGGCCCTCTCCAGCTGCTGCCCCTTGAACTTGAAGTCTCCTCCTCCAATTCCCGGCATCAGCAGGCAGAGCACATGTGGCCCCGGGGCTCAGCCCAGCCCTTTGCGCTTGGCCCCATGCAGCAACGTCTTGGTCTGGCTGTCCGCCCCGTTGTCCCATGAGCCTTGCCTGGCACACAGCCAGGGATCTGAAATGCTCATTGAGGGACAAACATGACACCTTAGAGATGCCCTGCCAGCTGTGCCACTGCTGTGGTCCCCGAGGGCAGCACTGTGAGTGACAGGCATGAGGGTCTGCCTTGCCTTGGTGTCACACTCTATTAGAGAGAGTCCATTACTTTCCTGCTTGCTTGTACTCTTTCTGCTATGACCTCTGGGAGAGCGGAAGGGTCACCTTGTTATCTCTCACATATTGCCTCCTGGATCCAGCTTAACCTAAGGATGCCGCCACAGGGGGCTGGAGAGAAAGAGAGAGAGAAAGAGAGAGAGAGCTTCCAGCTCTTGAGGAAGACCTGGGTTCAGTTCCTGGCACCCAAACAGGTACCCAACAACCAGCAGTGTCCTCCATATTTTGCTCCAGACCCCCTCTTCTTTTCAGGCAAGATGGAGGCCTGTCATTGGCTCAGCACTGTGGGGCTCCAGCTACCACCAAATGGAGGTGCTGGAAGCTGACTAAGCACTGTGCTCACATTTCTCCTTGCCTGTGCTTAGCAGTGTACTGTCATTTCCTGGCAGCTGCAATTGGCAAAGCCCCGGAGCCACCCGGGTATTCGCACACCCCTTTTGAGGAAGCAGCTGTGGGTGTCTTGGCTGCCACTCCGGTGTTTTTTAGCTGTTTGGGGTCTGTGATGTACATCGCTGACTTGAGCTCTGCAAGGGCCGGGGGATGATTTGTCTGAGGGTCTGACTTGGGAAGGAGAGATAAACCTTGGCTCTTTGGGACAAGGGTCTTTCTCAGAGGTGGCTACGTGAGCAAGCTGGAGGATGTCAGCTGTGGCTGTTTTTGGGTGGACATGGGCAGTCCCTCGAGGCCATGTCTAAACCATCTGCATCAGGGCTGGGACACCCCGTGTCTCCTATCCCTTAACCCCCTAACAGGCTAAGATGGGGAGTTCCTGTCCAGGCACTCAGTCCACCCTGGAAGGCCTTTGTTGACTTGCCCAATGACATCCTTACTGTTGGAACTTCTCACTACTCAACTCCTCACCTTGGCATTCAAGCCATCCACTGCCTGTGAGTGTCTCCTCTTCTCTCCCTGCTCTTCATTTTTGAGACAGGGTCTCATGTAGTTCAGGGTGACCTCAAATTTTCTGTTTATCTGAGAACGGCCTTGAACTTCTGATCTTCCTACTCCCACCTTTGAGGTGCTGGAATGTCAGGCACGCACTATCACATCCTGTTTATGGGGTACTGGGGATGGAACCCAGGAAGCCCCACAGGCCGGTCACAGGCACTCTACCAATTAAGAGCCTTGTCTCCAGCTCTGGCTTCATTCTTCAAATTATCTTTCTCTTCCAGTTCCACTTAAGTCCTCTCCTCAAGTCCATGCCCCACCCCAAGCTGCCTCTCCGGAGCTCTGGCTGAGCAAGCCCATGGCTGTGCAGCAGTTCCACTGCCTTCTCTGTGGTGATAGCGACGGCGAAAGACGACAGTACAGCAGGGTGCAGTCCCTAAAACAGGCTCTTTAATAATGTTTGTCTTCACTGAAGAGCTTGGCTTCCCTTCCCCCACCCAGCATTGGGCTGAGGCTGGTGGGTGTGGCAGGCTGTCCCGGGCTGGGCGGACCGCTGGCAGGTCCGCTTGATGAGAGTGACCAACCTGATCACAGCCTGGTCAGGCTACTGGAGTATGTGGTGGGCAGGGCCTGAGGTTGTTAGGAATCAATGGGTAGGCCTTCATGGGCTTCATAGACCATGAATAGGCGTGGCTTGCTGCCCTTGGGCAAAGAAGGCACCCAGTGGGTCGACCATGCCGCTGTGGGGGTAACCGACTACCAGTGGGCACGGCCTGAAGTCACCAAATGTGGTTAGCTGTCAGTGAGCTGCCTGCCATGGATTCGTCGGACCTCACAGAAATAGCTGCTGCTGGGCGTGGCCAACCACCAGTGGGTGGGGCTTGAAATCATTGGAGGGCCATCATGGGTTTGACCATGGATATAGCCTTGGCCTGCCATAGATGGTTACAGTGGGCCCCTGGGGTCTGAAGTGGCTAGCTGGCCAGCTGTTTTGGGCATGATAGACCATGAGTAGGTGTGTCCAGCCATTCTTAGGTGTTGCTGACCATCATGGGCTAGCCTGACTGTTGGTGGGCAGGACAAATCACAGGTGTTGGCCTGCTGGGATGTGCATGGCACCCGTGGGGAATAGGCGAGGCAGCTAATAAAAGGAGTACTGGTTCTCCACAGCTCGAGTGCGGCCCAGCGTGGCCTCAGTGGCTTCCTCGGCGGCTCCTGAAGATGCAGCCTCCAGGAGGTGCTCCGCGCTGTTGCTGCGGCTGCGCACACTTAGTGGCCCCTCGGCCAGGCGCGGGGGTATGGACGTGGCTGAAGATGATGAGCCGGATGACGACGATGCTCCAGCACCATTGGAGGGTGAGGTGGGTGGGCAGGTGGCTGTGGCCAGGCTGGAGAAGTAGTGGCCAGCTGGCTCCGTCCAGCAGGAGGGGCCTGGAGCCGCAGAGCTGGGCACTGGTCCTGGGTCTGCAATGAGAGGCCATGCTGGTCAACATCCAGCCCTGGGCACCTGGGCACACTTCACCCTTCAAAGGGGCCAGCGTCAGACAGGTGTGGAGAACCCCAGGAGGGATGGTGCGGTCCCGACCTTGGGGCCCTGGCAGAAGTCAGGTGATAGTGCACAACCATACGTGCCTTTCCAGCCTAGGCTAACGCCCCACCAGTGCAACCGTGAAAGCCGGGTGCTGAACTCCAACCTTGCAGGGCTCATGGAATCTACCCCGAATGTCCAGGTGAAGGGTTCGGAGACCCGGTCTAACATATCCCATGGCCTGTAAGTCACTGTGCTGCCGGGAAGGGCTTTGATCTCCAGAGCGCTGGATCTACAGAAGTGCACCCCAACACCTCGTTTACGGGGATCAAATCCAGGCCCTGAGCATACTAGACAAACCTTCTATGGACTGAGCCACACATGAGGCTCCAGGTGGTGGCATCTTACCGGGAGGGGGACCTTGGGCACGCACATAGCTTCTTAGGGTGATGTCAGCAGAGCCTCCCGACTCCAAGGGTATGGGGTGGGTGTGGAAGTGTCGAAGCATATCAAACACAGACTGGAACCACAGATGCTGGACATGGCACTGGCCGTGACCGTTCAGAGACAGGCGAAGGTGCTGTGGGCACAGAGGGGAATGGTCAGTGATGGGGTCCTGTACCAACTACCTGCCTGGCAAGTGCCTTTGTGGGTTGCTGGAGGACCATCCGTCACTCCATTGGCTTTATTGGACTGTATCATCCTATCTGGGTTCTATCTGGGTGTGGGCCACTCATGTGGCCAGTATGGGGGATGGGTCCAAGAGAACAAGGCTGGGAGTGCTGCAAACATCTGCTCCTACACTGGAATCTGTCTGCTGTCCTTCTTGTTCTTGTTCTTTTGAGACACGGTTTCTCTGTGTAACCCTGGTTGTCCTGGAACTCACTCTGTAGACGAGGCGGGCTTGAACTCACAGAAATCTGCCTGCCCCTGCCTCCTGAGGGCTGGGGTTAAAGGTGTGTGCTGTGTGTCAACACTGCCTGGTGAATCAATTTTTCTTTTGGCATAACTGTTTTGTCTTGAAGAGAGGGTCTCATGTAGCTGAGAGGTGTGGAATATTGGCATGTGCCTATTAGCAATGACTGGTTCCTCTCTGGGTCTCTGAGGCAGGGAGCTGTGTGTAAGGAGCTTTAGACCCATGGTCTTTAGTAGGAGCCACAGGTGTCTGGTGTCAGCCCTACTCTGCACTCTCTGAGACAAGAGCAGCCTGGCTAGAAGAGAGGACAGGTGGACTCATGCCTGTCTTGCTCCCCTCCCCTCTGTGGGCCCTGGTGGACAGGGTACTATCCTAGCCCCAGGCTTGGGCATGTCACAGTGAGATAAGCCCTTTAGTAGTGTCAGCCAAGATGTCAATTACCAGTCACCAGGAGTGACATTAAGTGCCCTGTTGTCAGAGGAATTGACATGGTGGTGTCCCTGGGGAGGCCCAACCTCCACCACACACAGCTGGGCCAGGACAGCCGAGAGCATGTCGGAGGGCTGCTGGAGGTCTGGTCTGAAGTGACCTGCAGCTGCAGGTCAAGGGCAGGAGCCTGTGAAGCTATGAGGGCTGCTGGGAATGACACTCTGGAAACACCTAAGGCTGAGTCTACTTCCTTTTCGGGAACGTGGGGTGAGCTGGGGCAGGGCACTATGGTTCCTGCACGTTCCTGCCATACTGTCATGTCCCAAACTGCCTGACCTTTGTCTTCTTTTTCATTTTTATTGATTTCTAAGATAACATTTATTTATTTGCTTGTTTATTTTTATGTGTTCATATGTGGGAGTGCCACATTCTATTTTGGAGGTCAGAGGACAACTTGTAAGAGTCACTTCTCTCCTTCCATCGTGTGTGCCTGGGAATCAAACTCAGGTCGGAAAGCTTGGCTTTGAGTGCTTTCACAGGAGACCTTTCTTGCCAGGCCCTTGTTTGTTTGTTTGTTTAGAGGCAGAGTCTTATGTAACACAGGCTGGGTTTGAATTCAACATGAAGCCAAGAATGACCTTGAACTCTACTGGGTGCTGAGATTACAGGTATGCAGCATCAAATCCTGACTTGGGGATTGTTGTTGTTGGAGATTTAATTACAGATATTTTATATAGGCTGTAGGCATTAGGGTTAGAAGAAAATGATGCCTCAGATGAAAGATACCCAAGTGTAGGTACAGGCTGCTCCTGGGAGAGGCACCTGGTGTTTGGACTTTGTTTTTGTTTTTTGAGACAGAATTTGTCTTTGTAACTCTGGCTGTCCTGGAACTCACTCTGTAGCCCAAGCTGGTTTCACACTCATGACAATCCTCCTGCCTCAGCTTCTGAAGCCCTGGGACTATAGGCAAGTGCATCTGGCTGCAATGGTAACTTCAGAGACTTGCTTTTTGAGTCTTGGTCACAGCAGGTGATGAGCCTTAGGTCCTGGGCTACCTCAATCCACCTCCACCAGGACAGGCTGTTCTCCCCTTCCACCCCCACCACATGCCCGCATGTCCGAGCATGCCCACACTTGCCTTGGCCTTGCCCTGGAAGTTAAAGGTCAGCACACACTCCCCAGGCCGAGTCTCGCTTTGCCGGATCACAAAGAGGCCGTGACTCCGGGGCCCACCAGCCAGGACCAGCTGAGCGGCCTTCACACGGGACAATGTCCCATGGAACCAGGGGTAGTCGGAGAGTTCCAGCTCAGCCTCAGCACTGGCGTCCAGCTCAGCTCCTTCGTCCCCTGGGTGGATCATGATAGCACGAGGCACAAAAGGGCAGAAGGAAGACAATTGAGGGAATGAACTCCTGTCTCTACAACCTAAGTGCCGGGATCACAGGCTTGTGCCAGCAACCCTTCTTTTTGCGCCTCTATCTGTACGAACAACTTCCTTCCCTCCATTTCTCTCTCTTCTTTTTGCTGTGTCTCACTATGTAGCCCAGGCTAGTCTTGAATCCGTGCAGATCTTGCTTCAGCCTCCTGAGTGTTGATCCACCCTTGCCTCACCCCCAGGTCTATGACTCTACAAAAGCCAGGCACGGTGGGAAAGGCTAGGCGGCCGTGCTGGCTGAGAAAAGCCCAACAGATTGAAATGTCACCCTTCTGAGGCCCCAAAGGGTCCCTGTTGAGGGAGCTGGGGACCCAGTGGTACCTGTATTATTGCTGTCACTGACACCACCACCTGAAGACTCCAGGGTTTGAAGGAAAGTCTCCAGGGGCACATGGGCCAGTGACTCTCCCACAGGGTCTCGAACTCGGCTGTGCGGGGCCGTCACCACTGCGCCCACCGCTGTGGCTGTCTCTGGGGGCTGGGACATGTCTGCAGCAGGGGAAATAGAGGGAGAAGCGTGTCTCTTAACTGCCCTCCAGCACAGTCCCCCTGATCCAGCCTGTGCTACTCCACCTACCGTCTGTCAGGAGCTCACAGCTACAGGAGGTCACACGGCTGCTCAGACAGCTTCCCCGAGCACAGGACAGCCCTGTGTCTTCCTCACTGTCCCTGTGGAGAAGGCAGAGCACGCCTGGCCACGGGGCCTGGGCAGGGAATCAAGTCCTGTCCACTCCCTCACCCTCTGTAGCCACGGTGTGAGCCACCAGCCACGGAAGCTGCCGTGAACGTAGTGTTCCCTTGGTTGTGGCTTGTTCCTGGGAGCCCACGGATACCTTCCAGTGGGGGACAGTGTGGTGATTGGTAGAGCCTGGGCAGCCCCTTGGAGACACTCCCAGCTCTAAAATTCCACAGAAAAAGGTCTGGCCGCTGTGGGAATGTCTCTGGAATCGGTGGGCACCAGAGTAATGGGAGCAATTGGCAAGCACTTTGGGGATGATGGCTATAAGGCCCTCAGGGCTCAACTGAGCTTTATTAAAATGAATCTGTTAATTAGAAAGCAGCCCCACCCTCATCCTATTAGCTAGAGAAACTGTTGCCAAGTGCTCAGCCGGGTGACATCCACTCATCCCGGCCATCTTTCCTGGACAGTGGAGTCGCCCTCTTCCTGTACACAACTGGCCAGAAGTGCCAACTGTGCCTCCATAGCCTCCCAGCCTCCCAGCTTCCTCATCAAGATTCAACTCTTTTCTGCAAAAATGATGTGTGCCCATGTGTGCCTGAGAGTAGACAGGTGCATGAGGCTGCAGGAGGCCAGAGTCATCAGATCCCCTGGAAAAGCAGTACTGCTGAGCCATCTCTCCAGCCCCCAAATCCTATTTGTAATGTGTGTGTGTGTGTGTGTGTGTGTGTTCGTGTGCGCACACGTGCGCACCCTCGAGCGCTCACACTCATGTTTGATAGAGCACACGCTTAGGATGTTTGATTTTTTTTTATGAGATAGGGGCTCATGTAGCCCAGGCTAGCCTTGAACTAGCTATTTGGCTGAGGATGGCCCTAGGCTCCTGATCCTCTTGCCCTTTTGGAGAAAACCCAATGCTGGCTCTACCTTAGTACTTGCCCTTCCTGGTAGCCTGGACTCTGGGAAGGAAGGGGTAAGGCACCCCTCCATTGTCCATCCCCCATCCTCAGGCCTCCAGAGTACTCACCCTGGATCCACACAGCCCTGGATGTCAGCCACCCACGAGTGCTTCTGTAGCGAGTCTATCGTCTCCAAAATGTACTCCGCTCCATTCTCCACCTGGACAAGAGCGGCCCTGGTAATGCCTCCCCCACTTCAGGGTGGGGCCCAGCACCCCAGGGCCAGTGAGCAGGACGGTTTACATAGCTTCACTCACCCCATGTTAGGTCTCATGGGTATGAACAGACGGGAGGGGAGTGGGTTCACCCAAGTCAGGGTGCAGGGCTGCAGCCCATGCAGGGGAGGAGACACAGCTCTGGAGGCCCTGGGTGTGGGGCAGGACAACCAGCATGCTCCATCCATGCTCTGGAGTCCCAGACACAGTTCAAGTCAAGTGGGGAGGCCAGCTGGTGTGTCACAGAGCTGCAGCCTTTAGTGACTTCGAATCTACGGCTGCAAATCTACGGCTGTGGCCATGTGGTGATCAGTGCTCTCTGTGCCTTGGCTGCTGAGTTCTCCACAACCCTAGAAAGGAGGCTTTGCATAATCCTTATTTTATACACAGGAAGCCTGGTGTTCAGAGGCAGAGCAACTTGTTCAAAATTCACACAGCAGCCAGCAGCAGTGCTAAGACCGGAAGCTGGGACCACCAGCTGCTCAGTCTCCCTGTTCTCGGTTCCCGGTCTTCTGTACTCTGTCAAAAGGTAGTGTGCCTCCCCTTTCCAATGGGGAAATGGGTTCACAGTGGGGATGGCAGAGAAGTCCTTCTGCCTCAGGGGTGCCCGAGGACCACCCAGTCTGTAGCTGAGAATGCAGATGGATAGGGGCTGTGTCCCCAGCTCCCAGTCTTGAGGGGACAACTCAGGACATAGACTTGGCACACATTTTTCCAATGAATAAAAGAGTTTGTGGCTTGTGGAAACACAAGCTCAATAAGAGCTTGCCAAAGAGGGTGGGGTTCTGCCCAGCTTCAAGGCGTTACCAGGGTCTCCAGGAGAGGGCTCAGATTCATAGTCTTGTTCCTTCTGGGAAGCCATGACCACAACCCTAGCAGCCCCCTGAGCCCATCCCAGTGCTGTGGGCCTGAAGAAGGAACAGGAGGCTCCCAAACCCACAGGGGTGGCCCCCACCGACCCTCTGTGTCTTTGTGACCTCTGTAGGGATCGGCCAATTCCCACACTCTGCTTCCCTGAGCCTAAAGACGTTTGCCTAACTTCAGCAAACTAGCCACCAGTGTGAGGTGGGTGTGTCTGTCTCCAGAGGGAGAGGAGAAGGGAGCTGTAATGGCCTTTACTCTGACTCAAGAAGAAATAGGGAACAGGGCTGTGCTGGTGAAATGTTTTGGTGGGTGAGGGTGCCTGCTGCCCTGGGCTTGACAAGCTGAGTTTGAATCCGGAGGAGGAACCCACTGGTAAAAGGAGAAAGCCCTGTCAGCTGACTCCTGAAAGTTGTCCTCTGACCTTCATAACCATACCACGGCAGCATGTGCAGACACACAAACATGCAAATAAATGTAGCTGCGTGGTGGTGGCGCACACGTTTAATCCCAGCACTCAGGAGGCAGAGGCAGGCAGATCTCTGTGAGTTCAAGGTTAGCCTGGTCTACAGAGAGAGTTCAAGGACAGCCAGGGCTACACAGAGAAACCCTGTGTCAAAAAACTAAAAAAAAAATTTAGAATAATAAAACAAATGTAATTAGGAAGGAAGGAAGGGGAGGAGACCCAAGTGGCCAATCATGTGGGGATGCATGGTTCTGGAATTGAGACCCAGATTCAAGCCCTACCTAGGTGATGGACACCTGTCGGGGGGTCCTATCATGGGAATGCCCTCCTTATTGCTCCCTTTGAGGGACTGCCTTGCACCCTGTCATGAGCTGGAGCTGTGTAACCCCTAGGGCTGAGGCAACTGCAGACCTTGGGGTGTAGCGGGGTCTCACCTTGAGCACAAATGTGTTGTCCTTCTCAGGCATCTCCAGGGGCATGGTGGTTCGCACCTCGATGATGGCCGACAGGGGGATGCTGACCTTGGGTCTGGAAGCCTGGGAGGCCAGAGGGAGGACGGTGAGAGGAACAGCTTGGAGGCCTCAGGAAGCCCTCTCTGCACTTCCCAGCATATGTGGGTCCCGGCAGCCAACACTGCCATGGTTATGCTAGTGTGAATGTGTTCAAGCCCATTTTAGAGCTTCGGAAAGTTGAGGGAGGCTGAAAGAGCCCTCCTTGCAAGGTCACAGTAAGCTAGAGCCTACGGAGTCCTCAAACAATGAACCCCAGCCCTGTGAACAGTGGGTGCTACCTGGCATCCCTTCCTTCATTCTCTTCCTTTCCTTTCTTTCTCTTTTTCCCTTTCCTTTTGGTATTGGGGATTTTGCCCAGGGCATCATGCAGTGGGCAAGCTCTCTACCACGGAGCCCTTCACTAGGGGACCCTAAGCAAGTGCTCTACCACTGAGCCACACCTCAGCCCCTCATTAGGGGATTCTAGGCAGGTCTCTATCACTGAGCCACACCCCTGCCCCTCATTGGGGGATTCTAGGCAGGGGCTCTACCACTGAACCATGCCCCAAGCCCTTGGTTTTTGGAAATAGGGTCTCAATCTGTGGAACAGGCTGACCTAGAACCCACTATGTAGCTCAGGCTGGCATGGGCTTGGAGCAGTCCTTCCTGAGTTTCCTGAGTTTTGCAGTCCTACAAGTGAACTTCCTCACTTAGCATTTTAAAACTTTTTTTTTTTTTCTTTTTGAGACAGGTTTCACTATGTAGCTTTGACTGCCCTGGAATTCACTATGTAGATCATAGCACAGAGACCTACATAGTGAGTTCAGGAAAGCTTGGGTTTTGTGAGCTACTATATCAAATGAAGCAAGCTGTGAGGGGTGAGCTGGGTTTGATGGTTTAGGTGCATGGTAGAGTCCCTGCCTAGAGTCCCCCAGTGAGGAGCTGGGGTGTGGCTCAGTGGTAGAGCCCCTGCCTAGAATCCCCCAGTGAGGGGCTGGGTGTGGCTCAGTGGTAGAGCCCCTGCCTAGAGTCCCCCAGTGAGGGGCTGGGTGTGGCTCAGTGGTAGGGCCCCTGCCTAGAATCCCCCAGTGAGGGGCTGGGGTGTGGCTCAGTGGTGGAGCCCCTGCCTAGAATCCCCCAGTGAGGGGCTGGGTGTGGCTCAGTGGTGGAGCCCCTGCCTAGAATCCCCCAGTGAGGGGCTGGCTGTGGCTCAGTGGTGGAGCCCCTGCCTAGAATCCCCCAGTGAGGGGCTGGGGTGTGGCTCAGTGGTGGAGCACCTGCCTAGAATCCCCCAGTGAGGGGCTGGGGTGTGGCTCAGTGGTGGAGCACCTGCCTAGAATCCCCCAGTGAGGGGCTGGGGTGTATATGGCTCCCAGAATAAGGGGGCTTCCTGTTTTGGGTGAGACGTTCCTGCGCACAGCTCCCACCTCAGAATGGGCTCTGTAGCTGGGTGTGGTCTCATCTCTAGGCATGGACAGAAGGGAACTAGCATTTCAATGCTGCCATCACAGGGTTAAGTCAGGGGAGTCAGCAGGGCCTCATAGAAGGGTTCTGTGAAGCCTCCTTTGTGCTCTGCCCCACAGCTCCTGCCTTTGCCCCCTGAACCTCCCTGAACTGGCCCAAGGCTTGACATTCCTGGCAGGGCTTGGGCTCTGGGACAGGGACTTTCTGAGGAGGAAATGGAAGGGCCTCAGCTAGATGGGAATTCTTGGCTTCCCTGGACACTTTCCAGTGGGTCCCAGGCTGGGCTTGGAGCAGTGACTGATGGGCTTAGCTGATCCCATCTTCACACCAGCCTGTGGCTGAGGTTGGCCATCATGGGGGCAGGGAGAGGGGACAGGTTTTCAATGATGCTTTCAGCTGGGTTCCCACTGGTTCAAGGTGCTGTGTTCCTTCATTTAGCCTGGTGTCTGAGGCCATCTGTCCTGATGTAGTTGTAGTTGTCCTCCGCCCCTAGTGCGGGGATACAATCCAGGGCTTCAAGCTTGCTAGGCAGGGGCTCTACCACTGAGCCACACCCCAGCCCCTCACTGGG